TGATTGTGTCTAGTACTTCTTCTGCTGTGGCAGCATTCGAAGAGAACCGCTGCTACACGACTCTGTGAGGAGAGCTGATGAATCCTAGCCCAGTCTTTGTGGGATACTTCCGACGTGGCCATAGAGTGGCCAGCTTTATGGTGGGGCGTGGGCATCTCCTGGAATTAGAACTCATCTCCAGACTATGGAGATCAGCCCCTTGGAGAAAATGGCTGTTCTGGAGGGTCCAGGCCTGTAGCTAACGCAGGGCTCATGGGGCCTGGCCCCCTAGCGTTTCTTCCGGGTCCCCACCCTCCGGGGCTGGCCCCAAATTGAATCAATTAGCTGTGCGCCCCCGAGACCCCCTCCCCAAAAAAATCCTTAGCTACTGGGCTGTGGAGGGTAGACCTTATAGCATCACACCCCTTCCCCCAAACCCTGACTTCCACAGGCTCCACGACTAAATCACCAGGAATTTCCCAAGCCGGAGTTGGCTACCCTAGGTGGCTAGGAAGCAAGCTACTTGAGCATTTTCTGGTTCGGCTTGCCTTCCTCCACCCAAAAAAACAATTTTAAAACACGAAATGCTGATTTTGTGCGTGTTGATCAGCTTCGGTGCTCCTGGGGCTTCCGCTACCTCCATTGGATCAAACCAGTCAGCCTCTAGTACTGTTGGAGTGATAAACAATAACAATAATTGTTGTTGTTCAGTCGCACAGTCGAGTCCGACTCTTCGCGACCCCATGAACCAGCTCCCGCCAGGCCTTCCGGTCTTCCGCCATCCTCTGAAGTTGGCTCAATTTCATGTTCGTTGCGTCGATGACACTGTCTAACCATCTCATCCTTTGCCGTCCCCGTCTTCTTTGACCTTCAATCTTTCCCAGCATCAGGGTCTTCTCCAGGGAGTGCTCCCTTCTCGTTTGGTGGCCAAAGTATTTGAGCTTCAGTTTCATTATCTGGCCTTCCAGGGAACAGTCAGAGTTGATTTCTTTTAGGACTGACTGATTTGTTCTTCTTGCAGTCCAAGGGACTCTCAAGAGAAACACTTAAAACATTATCTGTTTTAACTTTGGCACTCGTGCCTCGCTGTTAGCCGCCTGAGCCTTCAGGGCGGGATATAAATCCATAAATAAATAAATAAATAAATAAAATAAATAAAATTACCCTCGGCCCAGGTATGCCTTGCTCTCCTCGAAGACCTGGAGTTCCGGCCTGGCCAGGTGGTCCCTGTGGAAAGAAGCAAAAATCGTGACCGACATAAAAATGGCACTTGGCTGAAAACGAGGGAGATCAATCATCCAAGACAGCGCTCTTGAACTTATGGCGCCGCCTCTTCCCTTTTGTGATATGAGATAAGCTAAAGAATTCAATTGCATTTGTTCCCCCCCCCCCCGCATCAAGAAAATCACTCAACGGCAAAACATATAGAAACATTGTGCAGAGGTCCACTCAAGAGACTGCAAAAGGGTACCTATGCTACTCTGTCATAAGAGTACAAAACAAAAATCTAGTGGCATCTTGAAGACTAATAATGGCTGCGATCACACACACTAAATAATCCACTTTCAATCCACTTTCAATCCATTTTCCAACTGGATGTCTACTGTGTGAACTGGCAAAATCCAATTCAAAAGTGCACTGAAAGTGAATTATTTAGTGTGTGTGATCGCAGCCAATGTTTATTTCTATATGAGCTTTTGGAAGTCACCACTCGCTTCCACTCATTGTTCGCTCAGCGAACAGTCGAACTCATTGAAGGGGGCTCGGATCTTATCCACGGGCTAGTGTAGTGTGATGCTTCTGCTATAATAAACGGAAGTGACACGGTACGTATACTTGGTATATGCAGGCCTCTGTGCACTGAGACAAACCCTTTAGTACAGCAGTATACCAACAAAAGTCAAATTCAAAATATTGAAAACTTCTAGTATAGACAAATATAAATCACAGGGGCAGAATTTCTTTAGCTGGTCTCTCAGCAGCATGGCCACGGGAGACAACACTGTTCCCACTGCCCATATTTTCATGGGTATACCAAATGAACATGTGTGCTAAGCTTACACTACATCACAACAAAAGCCAGTGATGTCAATAAACAATAACTATGAATTGTACAACAAATTGAGAGTCCAGTGGCACCTTTAAGACCAACAAAGGTTTATTCAAGGTATGAGCTTTCGTGTGCAAAGCACACTTTATCAAACACGAAAGCTCATACCTGGAATAAACCTTTGTTGGTCTTAAAGGTGCCACTGGACTCTAAATTTGTTGTACCGCTTCAGACCAACACGGCTGACCAACTGGATCTATGAACTGTATAAACACCAAAGAGTTCATGTCGCTCACTGCAAGCCCACCAGTCACTTCACTTTCATTGAGTTGGCAGTTTTTGCATGTGTGTGAATGGATAAAAGGAAGTACTTCTTCACCCAAAGAGTGATTAACACTTGGAATTCACTGCCACAGGAAGTGGTGGTGGCTGCAAGCATGGACGGCTTCAAAAGGGAATTAGATAAGCATATGGAGCAGAGGTCCATCAGTGGCTATTAGCCACAAGGTATAGATAGGGACTCTGGGGCAAGTGATACTCTGTCATCTTGGTGCTTGGGGGGGGGGGTCAACAGTGGGATGGCTTCCAATGTCCTGGCCCCACTGGTGGACCTCCTGATGGCACTTGGTATTTCTGGCCACTGTGTGATATAGAGTGTTGGGCTGGATTGGCCTTTGGCCTGATCCAACATTGGCGTCTCTTATGTTCTTAAGCCCACTTTTAAGGAAAGAGGGTTGTACAGGAACCAAAATCCAAAAGAAAAATATCCAAAGACAGAATGCTTCCCAATGGCAGTTTAGCCCCATTTTGGTTTCCAAACTGGGGAGGGGTGTGTGTGCGTGAACATCCACATGACCTCCTGCTCTCAGCATAGGCTTCCCAGGCTTTCCCCAGTCTCAACATGCTTTCCCAGGCCTGCTTTACTCCACTTACTTTGGAAAGAACGCAGCCCAAGTGCATCAGCAGGTCGCATCAAAGCTTCAGTGCACATTTATCCACTTAGGATATTTCTACACTGCCTCTTCAGAGTCCAGCTCGCAATTAAAATAATGTAACGGTGTAAGACAATAAGCTGTTAGAAACGAGCCACTGAACACAGGCGGCATAAAACTGTCCATAAAACAGGACTCAGACCAGAAGCTAATACGATAAAAACCTTTGATTAAAATCATGGGTAAAAAGATGCGTTTTGCCCTGGCACCTAAAAGACAGTAAAGTAGGCGCCAGGCAAGCCTCAAGGGAGGGGTAGGGTTGCCAAGTCCGTCAAACTCACCGGCGGGGGAGGCTCCGACGGCTCTGGGAGCCGGCTCCAAATGCGCGCGCACGCGCCGCCAGCACATCAACGGAAGTGATGAGCGACGTGGCTGCGTCACCTCTGGTGACGCAGCTTTGGGGGGTGGAGTTCCCCCTGGGGCCCGATTCCGCCACGGCGGAAATCAGGCCTCCAAAGCGGGGGTTTTCCCGCCCCCCGCCCCCACTTGGCAGCCCTAAGGGAGGGGGCATTCCGGAAAAGTGCCAACACAGAAAATGCCGTTTCTAGACATCTGAAGGCAGGACCACAGAGAGCAGGGCTCGGGAAACAGATATTAACTGGCAGGCTAGATAGTACGGAAGGACACGGTCCCTCGAGTACCCTGGCCCCAAGCGGCTTAAGGCCTTAAAAGTAAGAACCAGCACTTTGAATTCTGCCTGGAAACAGATGGGCAACCATTTCCCTGCTGCAAAGATCTCACTTGCATCGGTGCCGTTTTCCCACTGTCAGTACTTCACAGGTGCCATTCCCCCCCCCCCGTTTTGCCAAAGAGGTTTTTTTGCAGATTTCTTCCCCCACCCCCTACTAATTGCTATAGCTTTATAATGATCTATTGCCACTCATCTAGTTCCATTTCAAATTTTAGTTCCTCCAAATTTCCGGTTTGTTTGTTTTTAAAATGAAGTCTTCAGCTCTTTTCTGTGCAAACATATAAGGGGAAAGGTGTAGGGTGTTTTTGTCCTAATTGTCTGGAAATAAATGAGATGGGGAAGTTTCAGGATGGTTTGGAGGGATACTGTTTGTACGTTAATATTGCACTGGAGTATGTGTACAAAGGGAAAAAAAATGAAAGGGGTGCTGAGTCACGACAGCAACTGTACCAATCATGCCACCAATGTGGGGTCGCTGCAGAGTGGGTGTGGGAAGGTAAATTGAAAAAAGATGGAAGTGCACAGAAAATCCCCCTTGCAGAAGCTCTGTCACCAACACAGATACCTCCGAATTTGCAGTGACATATTCACTGTGTGGAGAGACGAATAAGTACCAGGTCAAAAAATTAAGGGCTCTTTGAGCCATTCCGAACACCAGTCAAGAAAGATGCACCATCTACCACTGGCTGCCATTACCGTTCTCATCTCACGTAATAACCCCTGAGCAGAGAACTGGCCCTGGCCTACTGGACCTCTTGCCTTTTGTAGCCCTCTTCTCCGCTGCATCTACAGCTGCTCGCAACCCAGATCCACGTCTCTGACAAAGTCAGTTCTAGCTCCTGGAAGCTTGTACCAGAAGTCGATCCTTTGGTGCTTAAAGAAGCAACGCAGCCACCATTCTGGAACGTGCCACAATAGAAGAAAGGGACCATCTGAAATCACTTCCAGAAACAACCTCAAAGCATACTCACCTGTGGCCCTCTGGTACCCTGTTCTCCCACAGACCCTGCTGGACCTGGAAGCCCTCTGTTTCCCTAGAGTATAATACAGGAAAGGAAGCAGACTTAACTCAATGATGTTGGCGGGGGCAGCAGATCTAGAACAGTCAAAGGAGAGTACCTCTCCCTACAACCCAGTGTAAGTACCTCTTCCTACAACCCTAACTGTAAGAGTGGTTGAGCAGTGGAACAGTCTGCCTCAGGAGGTGGTGGATGCTCCTTCGCTGGACGTTTTCAAGTGGAGGCTGGATGACCGTCTTTCGGGTATGTTGTAGGGCTATCTTTCGGCTATGCTCCTGCAGAGTGCAGGGGGTTGGACTAGATGACCTGTGAGGTCCCTTCCAACTCTAACATTCTATGATTCTATGAACCCACAATTATAGAATTATTATTATTATTATTATTTATTTGAGTTATATATTGTCCTCCCCCCAATGGGGCTCTGGGCACTTAACGGCAATTTATAAATACAATTCTAATATATACAATATAGATAGATAGATAGATAGATAGATAGATAGATAGATAGATAGATAGATAGATAGATAGATAGATAGATAGATAGATAGATAGATAGATAGATAGGTGGGTGGATGGGTGGATGGATGGATGGGTAGATGGGTGGATGGATGGGTGGATGGGTAGATAGATAGATGATGATAGATAGATGATAGATAGATGATAGATGGATAGATGGATGGATAGATAGATGGATGGATAGATGGATGGATGGAGCGATAGAGAGAGAGAGAGAGAGAGTGAGTGAGTGAGAAAGAGAGAGAGAGAGAGAGATTAAAATTTAAAACAATAAACAAGTAGTAATAAAAACTAATCAGATGGCATTAGACAATTATGTAGCCTCCCTTAGGGGGAGAGACGGGGAGGCCAAGTTTCATGGTAGACCATTGCCGTCCTCAACCATAGGCCTGGTGGAACATCTGTCTTACAGGCCCTGCAAAACTGTTTTAAGAATGTGGTGTGACTGTGAGTGACGATGGACATTAGCTTAAACGGCTTTAGCATGGTCGAGAAAAAATCATGGAATTGAACCTCCACATTCAAAGGCAGTATACCGTTGAATATCTACTTCCTGGAGGACAACAGCAGGGGAGTTTTTTGCCTTTATGCCTCATTTATGGACCGGCCACTATGAGAAATAGGATGCTGGACTGGATCCAGCAGAGATCTCCTGACGCTTCACTGCCTTAAAAAACTACATTCTTGTTATTTAATTTAGTAGATAATGGATGTGTCAGCTTCACAAATGAGCCAAATTTAAAATGAATCACGGTTTCCTGTTATGCCTGAGCTGAGCCATTTTCTTTTCTTCTTTTCCAGCATTTTCTTTTCCTCAAGTGGTCCCCTGTAATTTGTCTCAAGTCAAATGTGAGATAAATCTGCACAGGAAACTTGGGGAAAGGGAGAGTATATATGGACAGTGCAGAAGCTAATTTATCTCAGTAAATCTCAGGTTCACAGGATTCCCCCCCCCCCCCCGGTCATCAGTCACCAGCAAGACACATAAGTGAGCAACATGGATGACGGATCCTAGCCAATTTTAGACCGTGGTCTCACACACAATAAATAATCCACTTTCAATGCACTTTCCAACTGGATTTTGCCAGTTCACACAGTCCAAGCCAGATGGAAAGTGCACTGAGAGCGGATTATTTAGTATGTGTGACCAATGCTCCCTCTAAGCTGTGGAGTCTTGTGAGCAAAAATTCTACTTTGTGAGCTACTGGCATTAAAGTTGGTGAGCGAGCAATTTGGCTACTGCATAAATTAGTCTGTTTTGGAGCCCTCCCTTCCTGAGCTAAGACAAAAAAAATGTGTGAGCTGGAGGCTAATAAACTGTGAGCTGGCTCACACTAACTCAGCTTAGAGGGGACACTGTGTGTGACCGCAGTCTTGGACTGCTTCTGTTCTTAGGAATGTTAAGGTGCTCTCCGTGGTGGTGTTAACGATTCACATATTGGACTAGGACTGGGAAGACCCGAGTTCTAATTCCTACTCAGCCACAAAGTTCACCACTGGACCAGTCACATGTTCTTGGCCTATCCTATCACACTGGGATGTAGTGAGGATAAAATGAGGGGAGCTCTCTTTGTAGGAAGGACAGGATAGAGACTTGACAGAAACCAAACAGACCTGAACCACTGAGACAAGTATTTGCACGGAGTACTGAAGTGGTTTTCCAATGACATCCGAGCACGTTATAACGGTGTGGCGGGGGCTCGGGGCAGGGGGAGTCTCTCAAGCAAATGCTCCTAATAAAAAATTCCTAATTTAGGTTCTGCCTGTCTGATCCCTCGCCCACATTCCCAAATATGTTGGATTCGGGAGGTGTTTTGTGTGCTTGTCTTTAATGGGGTATCAGAATATCAACACGGGACCAATGCTCCCTCTAAGCTGTGGAGTCTTGTGAGCAAAAATTCTACTTTGTGAGCTACTGGCATTAAAGTTGTGAGCCAGCGATTTGGCTTCTGCATAAATTAGTTTGCTCTGGAGCCGTCCCTTCCTGAGCTAAGACAATAAGGTGTGAGCCGGAGGCTTAAAAACTGTGAGCTGGCTCACACTAACTCAGCTTAGAGGGAACAGTGCACGGGACATAGACGAAGGACACTTACTTTGATGCCAGGGGGTCCTCTTCTGCCCTGTCCTCCCTGCAGATCAATCAAGCAACAGTCATTAGGGGAAGGAATCATTAAAGACAACAAGGGCTGCATTCTGCCAATGACCTAAGCTTGGAAGTCTCTTTTGTAGGAAGCAAACCGATGGCTCTGTACTTCCCCTTGGGGACAGCCCTTGGGGGGATCACACCAGGGCTTGTTAGGGAGTTAAGGGTTCTCAGGCCACAGCCTCCTCCTCAGGCCTCAGACAGAGGGAAGAAGATTCAACTGCATCCTGGCTTAATCATCCTTCCCAGCTCAGCTTCCAGAGACCCTACCAAAGTTGGGACGGGGGGATCCTCCATAGCTGGACGGCCAGATGTCCTTAAATGCTGCCTCTGGGCTACAGCTTGCTTCATACGTTTCTCCCCAAATGAAACCCCCTTCCTGTTCCCCACTAGTTCTTCGATGGGCGACTTCCGTTCACGAGACAAGGGACATGACCTAAGTTGGTGGGGAAGAGCTGCCAACCTCCAGGTGGGCGCAAACCAAGGAGAGAGATCACGGGAAGAAAGTGGAAAAGGAGACAAACAACCGTGATATATTAGGCCACAAAGGTCTCCGAAGACTAGAAATTTCTTTTCCCGATATTCAGTTCACCGGATGCCATTCAAACGCCATCAACACCAACGGATCATGCATAGCACCTCGTTTCGTGTACAACTTTGTCAAAGTGAATAGCGTCGAAATACAAGATTAATCCATTTAACAAACTCGCTGGTATCCTTTCAGAGTGACACTGACGGATTTTGAAGGATGTCACTATGAAATCATACCAGTGGGTTTGTGAAGTGGATTAATCTTGTACTTCGACGCTATCCACTTTGACAAAGTTGTCCACGAAACGAGGCGCTGGGCATGACCCGTTGGTGTTGATGGCGCTTGAATTGCATCCAGTGAACTGAATATTGGGGAAATAAATTTCTGGCTTCGGAGACCTCTAGGTGGGGCCTGGAGGTCTCCCAGAATTCCAAAGGGTCTCCAGGCCATGGAGATCAGTTCCCCTGGTGAAAATGGCAGCTTCAGAGGGTGGACTCTAAGACGCCCCATCCGTGCTGAGCTCCCCTCACCAGATCTGGTACTTCTCAAGCTGGAGCTGGCAGCCAGAGGGAAGAGTGACCCAGATACCTTAAAAGTAAACAAATGTGCAAAGGGGGACAGCATTCCTTCGAGGTCACTCTCTGTGATGGGGAGTGCCATGCCCCCCCCTTAGTCAGAGGAGCGACGCCATCATCAGCTACACCTCCTCACTGCCCCCTCTACCAGCCTCTGCTGTATGATGTGGAGTTCACATTATATCCATATGTTGGTGTCCGGGTATTCTACTTCACAGTTCCCGTGTGCCACCTAAGGGATGTCCTGGCCCGTAGTTACAGTGGGGCTACTGGGGGCTCCGCCCCCTTCCTTAAAGGGCCAGCCCCCTTCCTTAAAGGCCCCCCTTCTTCCCAAAAGGATCCCTTTAAATGCTTTTGAGAAGAAGCAGGGGGTGGCATGTGCCCCTCTCCCTCCCCTTCTGTAAGATTTAAAGGGCCCTCCAGCTGATCAGCAGGGAGCACATGGCCCACCAATCAGCTGGAGGGCCCTTTCAATATTGCGGGAGGGGAGGGAGGGGCCACGCACCACCACCCCTTCATTATGGTGAATAATGGCAGCCTCACCAGCCCCACCAGAAAAAAAATTGCCCCACAAGCCACAAAATCCTGGCTACGGCCCTGGGGAAGTCCCCCCCTAGGGAAATCCTTTTTTCCATAGCATTACTTGAGCGTTCAACTGAAATATGCTATATTTGTTTTTGTTGTTTCTGAAAAACAACCAAAACAAGAGAATTAAATGCAGGGAATCTATCCCTCCTGGGAGCAGGAGAAGGTATATGTGAGAAAAGACCAAGGATGCACTGAGCCAGGCATCTCTGCAGTGGATGCTTGGATACAGATCCCCTGAGGAAATGGGACAGCTGTTTGCTGATAAACCCTCTAAAGGCTGGGTCTTCACTCCTCTCTTACAATGTCCTTTGTTTATTTGATTTATAATTTACAAAAGAAAAGAATTACCATTCATAACTACATTAGTGGAATGACACAGAAAGGGAGAGTTTGAGTCCAGCGGAACCTCGAAGACCAACATAATTTATTTCTATATGAGCTTTGATTAATCATGCCCACTTCCTCAGACATATGGAGAGCAAACTTAGAATCTTACTTAAGGGAGGGAAATTATGAGGGGGGGGGGAACGATGTGTTGGCACAGAGTGAATGACATAATAAAAGTGAATTAGGTAATTCATTCTCTGCCTTAGCTCCCCCCCCAAAAAAATAATTTTCTCCCTTAAGGAAGATTCCTAGTTTGATCTCCCTGCATCTGAGGAAGTGTGCATCTATTCGAATCTGAAGATGTGAGCATCACTCACAAAACATCATATAGAAACAAATGCTGTTCACCTTTAAGGTGCCACTGAACTTTCACTTTAACAAACACAGGCCATTTCAAGTGAAATCGTTCACCCTTATAGATTTGCTTCTGATTCTTACAAGGCCAGCGAGCTTTAACCATTTCTGCAGCATTTCATATCTTCTACAGCAAATACACATTCACGGAAATACCCTGCTTTTTCCATTTAGGAGTTCCATTTACAAGCACCGCGTTTAGAATGCTGTCAACAATCATATGCTTCTACTTCCTACAATTTTTATCCTTTTTTTTTTTTACTGGACCTCCAAAGGTTATTTCCTTGCCCTTAGGTGGGGCGCCACCTATAACCTGGGATCGCAGTGAACAATACTCACATTTCTTCCAGGTCCTCCTGAGGCACCTGGTGGTCCATCCGCTCCAGGATCTCCCTGGGAAGAACCAAGCACACCGGTGGCTTATTACTAAGCAGGCAAAAAGAACAGAAAACAAACGCGGGGCCCCAAGAAGCATCTTCTCTGTGTGTGCTGCCCCAAGCAGATTCTGGTGAGACAGTGGTCCTCTCCACGTTTGCCTGCCACTCCAGGTTTTCTCAGTGTTCAAGGCAAGGCAATTTAAATCCAGGGCAAAACAGCATCCAAATAACCCGGGACAAGAGCAGGCTGAAACCGGGCTGACCACTGAAGGGAGGGAATGTAATGCAGAATGGGGGGAAACCCCAGAATCAAAAGAAGGTTGAACTTGATTTTAGTCAGGAATTGGGGGGGTGGGACCCTGAATTAAAAAGAAGATTGAATTCAGTTTTAGGGCAGAATTGCTTGGAGGACACTGTGGTGAGCATGGATTAAAAGAAGAGTGCAGAAAGGACCACTGAGTAATGTAGAACAATTAATAGCTCTGTTTCTTTAAATCTTTGCACCATGGGAAATGTAGTCAGTAGTTAGATGCGCCGATGTTAGCTTTCCCCATTGGCTAGATGGGGCTATTTCCTGGTGCCAGTGTGAGCCCGGGGAAAAATGATACTGCATTATCTGGGGTTCCCCCGCCCCGGATGAATCGTTTTTGCCTTCCTTGCACTATTGTACTGTAAATCTGATAAACGTCTACTTTACCATTGGTCCAAGTTCACCCTTCTGGCCTCTGGATCCTCTTTGAGTGCTATCTGCTCCTGGCGCGCCCTGGAAGAAGAAGAAAAGATTGGAGTTATGCCCCGCCCTTCACTACCCAAAGGAGTCTCAGAGTGGCTGACAACCTCCTTTCCCTTCCCCTCCCCTGGGAGGTAGGTGGGTCTGAGAGAGCTCTCTCTCGAGAACTGCCCTTGAGAGAACAGCTCTGAAAGAACTCATGACTGACCCAAGGTCACGCCAGCAGCTGCATGTGGAGGAGTGGGGACTCAAACCCACGTCTCCCAGATTAGAGTCCGCGCTCCTAGCCACGACACCAGACGCAATGAAAATCACAGTTCAGGAGGCGTAGTGCTATCGAGTGTTGAGTGCAGTTGAGTGGAATGTTGCACTTAGAACAGAGCAGCTCTGAAGCTCAGGGACGCTCTCCTTCGGCCACTCACAAGGTGTCAGCCGAGCCTACCACACGGGGATGTTCTGTGGATAAAGGGGATGACCGTGTGTGCTGCCTTGAGCTCACCGGAGGAGAGGTGGGATAGAAGCATATAACCGTTCTATTGCTTGTTGCTTTGTTGCTGTTGCCGTCAAGTCACAGCTGGCTTATGGCGACCCCACAGGGCTTTCAAGACAAGAGGCATTCAGAGGGGGTTTGCCCTGGCCTGCCTCCACATAATGACCCCGGTCTTCCCTGGTGGTCTCCCGTCCAAGTACTACCCGGGGCCAACCCTGCTTCGCTTCCGAGATCTGACGAGACCGTGCTAGCCTGGGCTATCTAGGTCAGGGATTCTATTGTACATGTAGCAAAATAAATCATATGCAAAAATATATATCATAGAATGCAACAGTGGCTCTAAGTGTAGCCCAGGGAGTCTCCAACGGGGCCACATGAGGCTTCTCCAAGAGTAGTTGAGACAAACTGCTTGTTCTCAGATAGGGGCTCTGGGGCAAGTGATGCTCTGTCTTCTTGGTGCTTGGGGGGGGGGCTATTTCCTGGTGGGAGGGCTTCTAATGTCCTGACCCCACTGGTGGACCTCCTGATAGCACTGGTATTTCTGGCCACTGTGTGATACAGAGTGTTGGACTGGATGGGCCTTTGGCCTGATCCAACATTGGCGTCTCTTATGTTCTTAACAAAGAGTTGGATCCAGCCAGGTTTTTTCGTTCCATCTTGACCAATTCCCCTTTTTATTACAGCCTTGATAGGAAAAGGCTTTTGTCCAGGCTGGTCCCATAACCCCCAGCACAGTCCATTTCATGGCCAAAGCCCCCCCTTTCACTAATGAAAAAGCTGGTTGGTTCCAACTCAAGATATCCGCTGCATCCCTTAGGAACCCCGTAAAACTTTAAATCACATGAAAAATGGGAGGTATATCTCCCCCCAGCACACACACAGGTGTGTACAAAGCAGTCCGGAGCAGATGCTCTCAGCGTATACACAGCAATGGCCCTGCTCCCTCACTGCACCTGACCCCCTACGTTTTCTGAGGCCCCCTCTGTCCAGGGGCCCACAAACACACACCAAGTATGCAATCTGCACCCTGCAGAAATGGAAGGCACAGATTGTGCGTACTGGGATTTTACTGCGGATGCGCATCAGAGCCAGTCCAGATGGAACCCCAGGAAGCACAGAGATGAGAAACAGTGAGGGGGCTCAGCAAGTTGGGGGTGACCTTCCCCCAGCCCCACCTATATTTGGAATGTCTGCAGAGGATTGGAGTTCTCTGCAGGCACCTGCACTGAATGGAGAGGAGACTGAGACCGATTTCCCATAAGCAGCTGCTCCGCCCTCACTCTTCCCCCCCCCCAATGTATTCATCAATTTCCCACTACTTGCTTCGCGGCCGCATTTTGACCCGCAGCATCCCCCTCGTCTTCTAGATCTCAAAAAACAAGGATCTAGAAGACGTGGGGGGAAATCGGGGGACGCTGCGGGTCAAAATGCGGCCGCGCAGCAAGCAGAGGGAAATTGACAAATACAATGGGGAGGAAAGGGAAGAGTGAGGGCGGTGCAGCTGCTTGTGGGAAATCGGTCTGAAAGACTGAATGGAGAGGAGACTGAAACGGGATAGGAAGGAATGCGGCTCTCTTGTTAGGGCTGGCGGCGCCTCCTTTGTGAGCCTCACTTGAAGAACCACAGAACCGCTCGTAAGATCGACTGGAAAGGGGGGATAAAAACAGAGAGTTCCCAGCAGTTTGTCAATATGGGGGGCGGGAATGCAAGCGTGACAAACCAGTATCACAAGACACAAGTTTTAAAAAATGCTGATCCCATTTGCTGGCTGGTTTATACATAGCAGTAAATAAATTAGCCAGTCACTAGGATTCAGATCTTCCATAGCAGATTCAAAGTCTGCCTGAAATATTTCAGATGAAGAAATGCTTCCTCCGGTCCTAGAAACTCATGGCGAAGGCATGCTTTTAAGTATCATTCAGTTCTGCTTCATAGCCTTTCCCTCTCCCCTTTTTTGGGGGGGAAATAGTCTTAGACCACATTTTTCTTTTTCCAAAATAAGAATACTTCCTGTTGACTCGTCTCTATATATCTAAAGCATCTGTTTCAAGAAAAACCTCATGGAACAGTTGTCATGTATTTTCGAATACGTACTACAAATTTAACATGTTGATGTGTTCCTACTTTGGCTAGCTCAGCTACGCGGACATCGGCATTTCATTTCCTCCCGTAACAGGGCTGGTTTTTTCTATAGCCAAACTGCGATTTCTAGAGGTTCCAGCAAGCAGTGGTTGATCTGAATTACAACGCACTGAAGACCACTCTAGGCCTCGGCTGCCTCCCAAAAAGTCACCATGGTCCTCTCCACACTAGCCATTTAGTCTGGATCGGCCACAATCCGTTCATTTGCTGAAACAGAGCTGACAACCTTGCCAGCAGCCAGGAAGAGTTTGGTATTTAGCCCATCTTTGCAGCCAGTTCCTTCTACTCAGGGCTCTTTTTGTAGAAAAAGCCCAGCAGGAACTCATTAGCATAATAGGCCACACCCAACAGCAGAAACTCATTAGCATATTAGGCCACACCCTGACAGTACCACTCATTAGCACCTTAGGCTACACCCCCATGTTACCAGAAGTGTGGTCATCCAGCCACACCCACCTTTCCCTTCTTATTCTGTTTACCTTATTTGTTGTCAAAACCCAGGGCTTTTTTTGTAGCAGGAACTCCTTTGCATGTTAGGCCACACACCCCTAATGTAGCCAATCCTAATGAGTTTGTGCTATTGGGTGTGGCCTATTATGCTAATGAGTTCCTGCTGGGCGTGGCCAACTCGGGAGCCAGCCGGAACTCTGTTCCTGTGCGTTCCTGCCCAAAAATACCCCTGCTTCTACTTATGATGAAACTGCAGTACCAAGCTGTCCTGTGTGAATAACAGAAGCCCTGGGGGTGTGTGGTGTTATATTTTGTGAGTGTGTGTGCCTGGAAGTCATGGTTCCCTAGTGGGGTTCGGACATTTCAGAGAGGTGGCTTGATATTACCTGCCTCTGCCTCCCAGCCCTGGTCTTCCTTGGAGGTCTCCCTTCCAAGTACTTTCCAGAGTCGGCCCTGCTTAGCTTCCGAGATCCTTTTAAATGTTCAGTCCTTCCTTTTCCTTCCGACATAATTAATTACTGCCGGTCTTCCTGAGGTTCTGCTCCTTTCAGCATCCAAGAATCAACTACAAATTATCAGCTCTGTTTTTGAAGGGCTGGTGGTGGTTTCAACACTTGTTTTGACTTTGTAATTGACCAAAGGCATTGGTTTTTAAAAAGAAAAATGATTGTAATAAAACAGTAATAAAATAACAAGAAAATAAAATACGAGCAGTGACTCTGGCTGGCTATAAAGTAAAAGAACAAGTATGGCAGCCCTCTCTACCAGAATGATAGAGCTGGAAGGGATCCCCAGAGTCATCTAGTCCAGTACAACGCCCTGCACAATGCAGGAAATTCACAAATATCTCCCCCCGCACCCCCAGTGACCCCTGTTCCATGCCCAGAAGATGACAGAAAACCTCCAGTGTCTCCAGCCAAACTAGCCTGGAGAACAATTGCTTCCTGACCCCGAAGCGGTGATCAGCATTTCCCTGAGCATGTGAAAAAGGGCCACAAGAACTAAGCACTGATGCAACCCTGCCTGCCTTCCCTTCTAATGATCTGCCTAAGTTCACAGAATCAGCATTGCTGTCAGATGGCCATCGAGCCTGTAGTGTATTCCAAAGCTGCTATGGAATGCATGATGTATGTGAAACATCTCATTGACTTGTAATGTTAAGCTTCGTCCTGGGCTAGGATCCAAATACATCCAATCGTGTTACTAGCCCAGGAAGCACCTAACCAATCACCTTCAAGCAAGCTCCCTGAGCCGGAACATCCGTGATCGGTCCTTATGCGAACAACCTTATTGGTTGGTATTTGTACAGTGGGTGTGGCTACATTAGCCGGGAATGTTTAAAAGCAGGACAGCTGCAATGTAAAGGCTGTTCTGGCTATCAGATGTTGATCCGTGTTGGAGTTGTGTTCGAGTTGAAGAATAAAGTTGTGTTCTTGCTGAATCACTCTCCGACTGCTTTGTTAAGCGAGCGACTTA